GATCTTTCTGAAATATTAGATGAGAATGTAACAAAAGGTTGCTCTTCAAGTCCTCCCACACATTCAAGAAACAATTTACCATGGCAAGAAGAGAAAAACATGTAAACAATAAAAAAAAAAAAAAAAAAAAAAAAAAAAAAAAAAAAAAAAAAAAAAAAAAAAAAAAAAAAAAAAAAAAAAAAAAAAAAAAGAAAAGAAAAAAATTAAAAAGAAATGATGGAGAGAAATTAGGAAAGTTTAGTATACCATAGTTTCAGGTTCTTACAGGCAGACTTTTAAGAATGCTGTGTAAATATTTCTAAAAGCAGATACTAATTTAAGCCATATATAGGAGACACTTGTGTTTGTTTTTATAAGATGATGATAAGGCCAAAGAAAAGTACACAGAGAAAATAGAAGTGGTTACTGCTAGAGCCAAACTAGACTTTGGCAGTTATGTTCTTTTTATTTGCTGTGTAAGTACATTGCTGTACTCACTTTTGAATGCAGTTGAAGTTGTGACCATTGCACCATAAATTACAAAATTGCAATCATAAATTTAAAATGTGTTATTTACATAAGCAAATGTTAATCCAAAGCTTTTTAGGTCTGTGGAATGTAATGTCCTGTTATCTTACTGAAAGAGCAGGTTCTTGTTAAAATAAAAACCATAAAGAACAAAACAGCTTTGAAGCTTTCTTAATAGCAGGCTGCTAAGGGTAGTTCTTGATTTCTACTATTTGTAAATCTAAATCATCACTGCTACCATGCTGTTTGGTAGATGGAATGAATCATGAGCATTCACTCCATTGGGAAGGCCTTTTGGAAACTTGGAGTCCTGGAAGGAAATTGCATTTTTGTTTTCTAAAAAACCTTTTTTGATAACTTCAAAATAACTTGGTTTTTACTGTCTTGAGACTTAATGCCTACAATCATTATCTTTATAAAAGATAAATATTTTTTTTCTGGAGGGATGCTCTGTAGCTATTTCATCATTCGAGAAATCTCCAGAGCTTATAGCGCCAATTATCAGACCTCTATTAATCCCTTCTTGGACTTCATGTTGGTTTTGTGATTCCATTCCAACACTCAGGTGTTTCCCAGAGATTACCATCTGTAGAAGCAGAAACTGCTTCCCGTGGTTGAGAGGGGAAGGTCCCAGCCTCTGCTAAACTCACAGTGCTGGTGCCATGGATGCTCTGGGCTTGTGCAGCTGACAAATGTGCCAGGACAGAGGAGCAGGCTTGTCTGCAGAGCTGTTAACACAGAGTGCAGGGCTGAGTCGAATCTGGACTGAAAATGGAGTTTCTGCCTCCTGGGTCTTGTAAGCTCTACAGGGGTGTTTCTTCTGATAAAGCTTCCATATGGTCCTCAATTCTGGCAGCTCATCTTTGCCTGTTTGGAGGCTGGATCCTCAACATGATTTTCTTCTGTGTTCTGCTGCTGGCTATCTACTGCTTACTGTAACTCACACTTCACATACGTATAGAAATTATGCCATATTATTGCTGTATCAATTACTACTGATTTTTTCAACCACATTTGTGGGGTTAATTTGTTTGAGAATATTCTAATCTGATACAAATATAGAAAGCAAAAATACATACATTCAGCTTTACTAAACACTCTTTCACAGTAATTAGTGAGTAATTATTTTAAATAAATAGAAAAACCCTCATATATTTCAGGCTTGGGGAATTATATTTCTGAAGGAGAACTTCAGATAAGGAGCAACAAAGAAAATTAGCAACTACCGAAGGTCTTGATGTTAGTGCAGAAATAATAAATGATTGGAAGTCTTCCAAACATGGATGCTAAAAAACTAAAATGCAAAATAGGAAAAATGGATGTCAGCTTTGTTCAAGATCCAAGAAACATCAAATATATGTTTTAAATAGTATTAAAAAATACTGGGTTAAAACTTGTTCCCAGTGGGATATAGGGGTAATTTTGCAGTGGCATATAGGGGTGATTTTGCCATGGGTATCTGATTTCCTGATTACTTCTGTCCAAAAGTTCTGACCTACCTTTCTTACAAACAACATAAGTGCAAGCAGGGATCACCAGTACAAGTTACTATAAAATCAAAATCTCCCAGAGGAAATTACAAAAATGCTAACCCCTATTGCCAGTTAGAAGTGATCAGACATCAAAATAACTTCAAAAAACACAGGTAAAATGGTTCCCATTTAATTTAATTGAGGTTAAAGAAGAGTGGTTTATCAGTTTCCTGTCTAACAACTAACTCTGCCAGGCTACATCTGCATCATTGAACTGATGTGTGTTCCTAAAACATTAAAGCATGCCTTGCCTGGATCCTATGTTTCTAAACCAGGCATACATCAGCCTCTTCCACTTCTTCTGAGAGTAGCCTTGAGTGTGGGGTGGTGAAAAGGACCTTCTAGCACTCCACTGTGATCTTGATCTGGGTCATCTACCTCAGGGTGCACCTGCAGCACACCAGAATTGCCATAACAGTTTGTGCTGCAACCTATGTTAATATTTTCATTTGTGTAACTTGTGTTATTTATTTTAAATCAAAGATACCCTGATCTTTCACTGGAGATAGACCAGAAACTTTGTGTGTGTGTGTGTGTGTGTGTGTGTGTGTGTGTGTATGTGAGAGTTATTCATAATGTAACTGTCTGATACCTGCTGCACAGAGCAGACTGATGGAGAATTATGTATATCTAAGGCTTGACAAAACACTACAGTATTACAGTTCACAGCTTCATTTCACTGAGTAATTTAATAAAAACAAGATTTCATGGTGAAGACTGTCAGGAGTACACCTATAGCCACCAGTATAAATGATGTTAGAGGGTTTAGAATTGCAGTATTTTCATTTTCTATCTTTAAATAATTAGGGTTTTTTCAAATCTTAATGGCGAATTCCCTGAATTGAGCTATTAAGATTTCTAATTTCTTTACACTAAAGCTATACACCCACATACATACAGAAACAACAACAATTTTATACAGTTTTTTTTTTTCCTAGAATATTTCCCAGGAGTAAGGGAGATATAGACATTTAAATAGGTGACTTCTTTAGTCACCTTTAGTCATTTTCTTGGCTCCTTGAGGGATATCCGGTGTTATTCAAGCAACATAAAATCTTCATGTGTGTAGAAGCTGCAAAATCAAGACAGTGCAAAGGAAATGCAGGCACAGGAATATTGAAACTCTGCTTTTCTAGAACCTTATATCACTACATGTGGCCCAAAAGGGGTTGCATCTGTCCAAAGCACAGAAGGTTAGAAATAAAGAAAAAATACTTTTTGATCCTCTGCACTTAGCAGAGCATCATATCTTGTGTGCTTCTCCATCTATTTATCTTTAGAGGGAGAGCTAATCCTTTGGGAAAACACCTTTAACACTTCTCTCTTTCTGGTATGTTGGTTGATGGTTGTCATAGCTTTTCAAGCCCAACTGTATGTATAATTTTTCCTTTTCCATTTGAATGGATTTGTAGCTAAATGCTATTAAAATCTAAAGAATTTCAGACTAAAAGAAAAATCTGAACCAGCCCAATTGGTCCAAGCACTACTATTTCCTGCAAAGAGCATGTGTGTATTCATGCATGCATACTACTGAAAGAAAGCAAGCAATGATACTCCATTAATGTACAGATGGAAGTTTATATTGATTTCAGCAAAGACCAGAACATAATGGTAACATGAATAACAGATAATAGCATCTGGCACTTTTAACATTTTTAAGCCCTGAAATCTTTGGAGAACTGACAGTTGAACTAACTGACAGCTCTAGTTATTTCTCAGCGCTTTCCTTTTGGAGAGATTTTGAGTTTTTTCCAAATTCAGATTTTTTTTTTAAGGGGGCATCTGGACAGGCTATTTTGCTGAGAGAGAGAGAGACAATATTTTCTGGAAATTACCACCAAAATTAAACAACTGTTGTGCATATGAACCAGATAACAATGAATTAGAAATAGATATAATCAGTCATTTTCTTTGCATAAGGATAACTGCCAGTCTTTGATTTTGAAAACAGAGCCTCTGGCCCTGTCATCACTGGATGTATCAAGGCTCCCTGGGACAGCAAAATCTCACAGCAGAGATCTGTGGCCAGATCCTCAATTAGGGACAAAATGTGCAGTGTCAAAGCACCAAGTGCAAGGGGCACCAGTGACTGAGTGCATTGGACCATTATGTCCTGTTGGGTAGTTTATTTTCCTCCAATTCCCTGTGCTGGAAAGGGACAGGGAAACATCCAGACATCCATCCTAGCCTTGTGAAAGTCAGGCATGGATTAGGGGGGATGTGGAGGTGCTCCTGTGCTGGCTCTTTTGCTGAGCTGTGAAGGCAGCAGGGAGGAGGAGTGACATGACAGGTCCCTTGCCAAGTCTGTGACACCTCTTGATCCCAGCAGCAAAGTCCTCTCAAAGCTGGATGTGTGTGCTCATCATGCAGCATGAATGGGGAAGGGCCTGAGCCCTCAGCCTCCTGCTTCAGGTCAAACCCACTCCAAAACCCTGGGACTCAGATTGTTCTGTCACTGGTGAGATAAAGACCATCATTAGCCCCAAAGAGGAGACTGCAAAGTGTTCAAGACAACCCACCTCCAATTGCAAGCTTTTTCAGCGGACACACTGCAACCCTCTACCCAGTCATGATAGATTGTTTTCCTCATGCAATTGAATTATCTTTTATTTCCAGGTGGTTTTTGAATTGGATGCCTGGATCATCTAACATCAATTGTAAATAGCTTTACTCCATCTATGTCTTCTTGAAGTGTCATATTTGATATTTGAACAAAAGATAATTTCATATTATTATAATGATCAAATTCTATTATATATAAAACCAAACAAAGAGTAAGTAGTATAAAACCTTCAAACCAGGACATCTTTTAGTTTGTTTCTGAAAGCTGTAACATAGGCTTTTAAAGAGTTGGTGGTCCCTTCCTGATTTAAGAAAAATGAAAGCAGTCCATATCCTGAAAGTCAGGTTCAAGAGAAAAAATATTAAGTCAAACTTGCCAGCAAAGTAGAATAAGAAAGAAAGGCCATAGTAGACTATGCTGCTTTGTTTTCAAGACAGGGTAATCAGACATGAAAAACAGAAACAAAACCAAAATAAAGACATTTTGTGATTTGGATGTGACACTCCAGAAGATTGATCACATAAGTTGCAAGTTGGAGATCTAAGACTCTGTTAGAAATTTCTTGCAGTATGTAAAATAAAGTTTTCCAGTGAAAGAAGTTAAGGCAAGGTTTTAACTATGAGTTTAAATGCTTAGGTAGCAAGTTATCTAGAAGTCTAAAGAGTTTGTATGGCAATTTTTTTTTTTTTTTGTTTCAGCATGAGAGAACTGCCTTGGCTTGATTTTATTTGTTGGGGTTATTTTTGTTTTGTTTTTCCTTTTTTCTCTGATGATTGCTAGTCCATTTGGGTGTCTGTGTTACAGGACTGAGCCATTAGGAACAAAATTTAAAAAGCAGATTCTAATGATGGTAAGCTTTGTTTCCCTTACCTTAGAGTCTTACAGACACTAACAAGCAGGCTCTGAAACCAAGATTTTCCAAAGTGAGTAACAGGGTTTTTTTATATCCCATCCAAGAGACCATTAAAACCAGATCAATGTTCACAAGACTCTACTTGTGGAAACTGATTCCCTTTAAACTGTTCTAGTTGGTCCTAAAGACTATCATATGGTCTTTCATGCAAGGGAAAAAGTCACTCAGAAATTGAACAAAATACCTCTTTTTCTTCTTCTTTCCTGCCATGAGTCTTGCTGTAGTTGATTGGTGTATCCCAGCCTTCCTGTTCACATAGTGCCTGGTAGAAGGCTGCATTTACAAGGATGCTACTTGCTTTGAAAGGAGAAGAGGAAGGAGTGGGAAGTGCTGTGCTGGAAGAAGTGAGAGGCATAACTTTGTCTTGGCTTCGATTCTTTTTCATGCTCAAATCCAGTGTGCCATTTTCATCCACTTCTATCTCAGCTCCCTGACATGCAACAGGAAATAGAGACATGTTTAGATATGGACATGGCAAGGCTGTAAAATAAGCATGTGGTGCTTTTAAAGGATAAATATAAATGCATGCTTTTATTTAAATTTATCTGAATCTAAACCCAGCTTTTCGATTTATGTCAGTTAATGTCCAACTCTTAGGCAGACTTAAGAGTAGCTTCAGTAATGGTATCCCTGCATCTCAGCTTAAACATAGTAAGTAGAATTTAAATAAGATGCCACTAAACCATAACTTATACACCCTAAATCTAGTTTTATTTAAAAAAAGTTTAGCTTTAAATCTTCTTGATCTTTTCACTCTTACAGAGAACTATGACCCCAATTCACAGTTAAAAGCATTAATGCATTGTTTAGGTCATCAACAGCATTATTATCACATATCCTCCCTTCCCCCCATACCCTGGAAACATTACAACATCTGCATCATGGTGGGGGAGAAGGAGGGGGAAAGAAATACATCTAAAAGTAGCACAGTAGGAGAAAATTTCACTGGGATTTTCTACATCACTTGAAATGACATACTACCTTTATCATCATTTGACTAGGCCACTAAGGCACTAATCTGCACTTGAGACCACTAGACTGAGAGAATACAGCAAGATTGTGAGGAAGTTCTCACTAATGGAGGTATTCTGCCTGAATTAGCAAACTTTGTTTCCTGGGGAGTACAGCAAAGAGCAGCCTCTAATAGCAGAGGTGTGTGCAGCTTGGGGACAGACCCAACCTCTATTTCCAGTCTGGGAGGTGCTCTCCTGCTCAAAAAAAGGGGCAAGTGCTGCTTGGCTGTACAAGAACAAAGGAAGGAAATGTCACTGTTCTGCCTTATCCTGTTTGATCACAGGAAAAGAGGACAAACTCCTCTTCTTGAAATGGTAAAAAGCTGCTGAAAAGTGCAGTTTACTGATGTAAGCAACAACAAATTTGCCCTTATGCTTAATATGCTACACTGCCTATTAACATATTTTCTATATAGGGATGAATACAAGACTAGTCCTTGCTATTGCCAACATTTACTGATGGCAAGTGGGGGAAAAGATTAAATGTGCCTACTGGAGGACTACTCAGTACTCTAATTCAGTATTTTCCTGAATAAAGTGGAAAACATTCAAGGACTATGGAGATAAATAGCAATGTCAGAGATTTACACATAGAATGCTGTAATTAACACTGCTCATTGTCATCACTACTATTTTTAATTTGTGTCACCAGAAAGCTTGGATAACACTTGGGAATTTGGGGTAGATGTGTTCTGTGCTATGTAGCTGTAGGAGACAGCTGTATAAACCCAGATTTCCTACCTTGAGTAATATATTAGGTAACTCATAGTGTAAGTGAACCACCTAGATGTTGTGTTGTAAATAGAAAAGAGTCAGGTATGCCCAGGGGTAAGTTTAGACCTCTTCCTCAGAAAGACATTGGCAGGAGGAGCCCCTTTCTTTTTATGAACATTAAATATTGCTTGGGCATGATGATTAGTTGACCATCCTAAAGATGGGGCAGTGAAACCTGTCCTTGCTTGAGGATCTTCAGAGTTGTGGTGAAACAGGGAGCTGCTCTCCTGTGCTGAAAGTGTGACATGGCCATGATGACTGGACTGAGGGTGCAAGCTTCCTTAATGCAACCTTGCCTTCTACCGCTGCCAGTGCTGACTAATTCAAAGGTAAAATGTGATTGATTAAATCTTCTAAATCAGAAGGAAAATATTGGTGGTAGATGATAATTTAAGGCCCTACAGCTTCTCTTCACTTAGCCAGCATGGCTCCCTTTTGCATCCATGAGCTTGATGCAGATGCCCACCTAGACTGAAGCACCACTGAGCCATCTGCTTGTCCCTGGTTCAGAAACTCAGGCACCTCTTATGTTTGCTTCTCCCACATAGCCAAGTTTACATTTTCAATCATACAGCTTAAAAAGAGAGATGTTTTATTATATTTATGGGAAGTAAATACACTTCTAATATGTTCATACTAAGACGCTTTTGTTATATCTTTCTGCCCCTTTTTAGTAAATAGTTTAATCTCCTGTGATAGTTTTAAGCCCTGAATTTGACAGTGCAGCTTATCCTGGATAATAACTTAGTAACCACAACATCTTATGCCATCTGTATAATATCAAATACATTTTTATACCAGCATTAATAAACCTTAGTTACAAAAATCCAAGATATTAACTATATCACTGCCAAGCACACGCTCCAAGATCTGACAATAGAACTCTGCCATGATCGCCCCAGTGTTTTTTGGCTTCGTCGTTGATATGTAACTATAGCAATGAAACAGAGCTACAGTAATCAAGTTTAATGACCAATGTAAAGTAAAATGCTAAATATTGTAGTTGCTGACAATTTTTCATAATAAAAAAACTTGGGTTAAGTCTGCACAACCAACATTCACATAAAATTCCAGACCTCTGTGACAGATGGCTTAGGAAAGGAAGCCATGTGATTGGGCTGCAGTAGTTTTATAGTGCAAAACCCATAAATAGTGCAGATTCTCTCTACTGACAAAATATCAACTACTCAGAAGGCAACAGTAACAAGAAAGACCAAAAACAATCAAGGCTCCCTTCTTAATGCAACTTGACATAGAATAATATCAGAAAATTATTCTCTCTGAGAAGCAGATACCAATAGCCTCCAAAAGGAGCTCTTACTGATAAGCAGGACATTTACTAACATGGAAATTTAAAGGTTTCTCAACACTCGCCTGAAATTCATGTAGAAGTTGGGTTGTCCAACACATACCTAATTCCCATCAGGAAAGTCTGGGTAGTGTGTTTGTGAAGTAGTGTGCAGATGGGGTTTAAGAGAGCTCACAGATGCACACAACAATTAAATAAAGTCATGGGAAAAATATCCCCCTTTGCCCATTGCAGAACTGATTGCAGGTTTACAGCATGGATTTTTACTCAGAATGGTATAAAAGAGCTATTGCTTTGGTGCCTTCCTAGCAAACTCCAAATGGCACAGCAAAAAGAGGGAAGTCAGAGTTATTGCTCCAGTTTACATTCCTACTCTGATCCCACCCTCCTCTCAATATGTCTCCTTTGCTTGCTTTACCACATTTATTTTTACATCAATTTTTAAATGGAACTAAAAAGACAGAAATGGCAAATGGGAAGAGCAGTGTTCTGACATGCTGACAGAAAATGGCACTTACTATGCTTAGCTCAAGCTTGTAAAGGCTATGTTCTCTTCACTGAAGGCAAGATCTTATTACTGTTGACTCTAGTGCATGTGAGAACAGGCCTATATTTATCCATTTATCATTACATATTTAAAATACAGCTACTAAACAATGTAAACTGTTCTGATTATTCCTTAAAACTGTAAGCAAAACAAAGATGAAAATGTATCTTTTAACTTCCTAACTTATGTTTGTTTTATGCTGTGTAAATCTTTGCAGCCTGATTTTGATCTTACTCACATTTGTATTTACACTGGTGTAAACCAGGAAAATATCTACTGAAACAATGAAGAAAAATCAATGAGCATGACAGGATACACACAGTAATTAAATTCAGGTTATTTCTTACCTACTAACTCATAAGTGACAGTCCAATCCCCCTGCCTCACGTTTTACAAGCAGGGGGTAAAAGGATTCCAGAAAAAAAAATGAAAGAAAAATGATGGGAGCACATTTTCTTTATTCCAGTAGCTATTCAGTGAAATGATAAGGTACAAACAGTAATTTATTACCAAAAATGAAGACTAATATAAATATGTAAACCAAAACAAAAAAAAAAAAGGTCGGTATTCTCTCCAACTGCTTTGTACAATAAACTCTTTTTTTTTTCAGCCTTACGACATAAATATTAGGGAATATTTTCTAGTACTTAATTAGGTCCTGTCCCTAGAACTGAATTACAACAGTCAGGACAATGAAGGAGGCTTGTTATTTTTGTCAAATTTCCCCTCCATTTTTTCGTATGCTTTTGGTCCATCTGATCACTCATAACATTTAATACTTTCAAGTGTGTATCCAGCAATGATTACAAGTTAAGCTTTATCTCAGCAGGATCAGAAAAAGTAAATTATTGTGCCTGCATGTGTCTTATTTCAAACCTGTGACATCAGGGACATTGTGTCATGACATAGAAGAGAATTCATATATTCTTTGGTTGGCATCAGCCACAGAATTTAATGCCAAACAAGTCCAAAGGAACAACATGATCAATGATTTTGCATTCCCCCAGCAGTTCAGTCTGGTTTGGAAAGCTCAAAAGAGCTCTTCAGTTCTGGTACTGGGAGTAAATGAGACTCGTAGCCTGTGTGTGTCTGAATATTCTTAATACAAGTCCATTCAAAACGGTAAAATACTTTCTATTCCCAGCCAACAAAAACACATGCACCAGGTCCTCAATTCTTCACACCTAAATTTAAGCAATTGAGAGAACTTCTGCAGAAAATTAAAATATTAATTTGGGTCAAAATGAGAAAACTTGTAACAGCCCAACAACATCTGAGACAAAAATGGAGTCACAATTTAAGCCCAGAGCAGTTCACAAATTAAAAAAAGCTAGCCAAGAATGTACTTAGAGAGCAATATGCACAGCAGTATTACAGGATGGTACCTAGTGATACTCTTGGATGACTTTTCATCTTGTATTTAGGCTTTAAGGTATTTGGATTAAAGTACTGCCTGACAAACATGCTGAGTGCTAACTACAGTTTTTAAATAATTGATGCAATTTTCACCATCATCAGTATCCAAGAATGGAGAGATGACACAATTTTGTTCAAAAAAACTGGAATTTAAACATTTTTAGCAAGTGTGATTTTATTTTTATATTTTTTGTTCTTGTTTTATTTAAAGGCATAGTGTGCATATGCCATTTTGTCTAAACAGGTGGGAAAACCACCAAAACAGTCAACAAAATGTTTGGCAAGCAGTAGTAATGAGGATACAGATAAACTATTGCTTGCAGCTACTTCACTGAGACATGTGTGGTGAGAGCTGTAAACAGGGGAGATCCCTGGAAGTTATGATGATGTGGATTCTTACACAGAGCTAGAAACTGCAGTCTAAGCCTCCTAGGGGAGCCCTTCTGCTGACTTCTATGGGAGCTGAATGAAGCTACATAAACTGCAAATCAAATACAACCAGGAGACTGGCTTGGGGTACTGGCTGCATGAGAATTGCCTGGTTGGGATTATATTCAGGGGAAAAGTTTACTGCAGTCCCAGGCTGAATGGCTCAGACAGTGCAACATTAATGTGCTATTAATTATTTTGAAAACTATATCATCAAGGTATCTGATGATCTTACTATTTTGTGTGCAACTGATACATAATTCATAGATAAGGTTTAAGATTCATTTTACTGCTCATTTCAGAATAAATGTATTATTTTAATATTTTATTTTTTTAATTATTATTTTTATACTTGGGATATTTGTCAGATCACCTTGAACATAAGGTCTCTTTGGAAGTTTTTCTCACCAGTGGTACTGTTAATGCAGAATGTGGCTTCTCTATCCCTGCTACGCTTCTCTTTTGTTGTCTTGGACTCTCCCTTTTGAACTGATATGTAGAGAATAAGAAATACATATTTTAATATCCATTAAATTATTGAAATTTGGAACTATGTTATAAAATAAATTTACTTTTTTAATTTAAATGTTATCTCTATATATAGGAAAGTGTTGAATATTCAGGGTAGACCATCTGACTTTCTAGGAAAGGGACAATGCTTTGAGGGTCAAGAAATAAAATTTAAGAGGCAAAAAGAAAAAGAGAAACTTGGGAACACATTTGTGCTAAAAAGCATTTTGTTGTTTTCCCCACTTGTTTAAGCAAGGCAACATATGCATGCCTTGAGAAGATACAAGAAAATGCCACTTACTTGAAATGTTTGAACTTTAAGTTCTGCTTTTAAAACTTAGAAACACAATATTTTTACATCTCTGACAATTGTGTTACTGGCAAAATATTTCCAGCAAGCCTGGGAAATCTTCTGCACTCTCACATACCCTTGTTCTCCCACCACAGAGCCTCCCATCTGTAAAGAACCAAGGACTGGATTGCTGTGAGACTGCCTGATGCTCAAACACCTTTATAAGTCAGGAGCGTTAATCTGCTAGAGTATGGACAATGCAAATCAGGTTTTCTTAGAAAAAGGAATAAAAGGAATTTCAAGGGGCAGGGCTGAGACCCTTGATACTGTGGGACTTTGAACACAGCCACTCCACACAGTTATTTTCAAATGTGTTGAACATGTGTGCTGTTGAGTAGCAAAAGGAAATATTTAACTCTGTAGTTATGAATTGCATTATTAGAGTTCAAATATAGATAAATCTCAAGAGGGGTTTTTTAATAATCTAAAAATTTGTAATATATTCTAACAATTAAACATTTACATTTGTGGCCACCACTAGCCACAACACAATTCAGAAACACTGATAAATAATATTTTATTGTTTCATATTTTAAAATTAGAAAGTGTCTTTACTGAGGAGAATCTGGCAACTTAATTCAGAAATTTTTGGTTTGAATCCTGTATGATCAAGGTAATAAATATCCAAAACCAAATAAAAATGTGTTTTGTGTACTTTTTGATACCAAATCTGTTTGGGGCTTACTTGTCTGTATTTTGGCCAGAAATTAATTCTGATTCTTCTGTCAGATGTTTTGTAGCAGTATGCCCTCCAGAAAGTCTGGCAAAAGTGGAGGCAGGCAGATAGCGAGGTAGGCAGGTGATTTTCTTTCAGGCTGGATTCCTGGCTGTTAAAAAGGAGTAGGCTATGTGCCCCAAGTGCCCCTCTGTATCATTACTGTTATGTTCACTTCCATTCAATCTTTCCCCATGATTTGGCAACTGTGAAGCAGGTACATAGGAGAAAATCTTTGGGTTATGCCTGGTCCCTTTACTGCTCTTCTCTGGCAACAAAGGTCTATTGCTGAGGTCAGCCAAAGGCTGCTGCAGCAATTTAATCCAACCATTGGCATCAGTTTCCATATCCCTACTAGAAGAAGTCTCTATTAAAGACTGATGGAAGAAGGTTTTTTGTAACAGATATCAAGGATAGATCTGTCATTAGGAGAGGTACTATGAGCAGTCTTTGGAACAGATAATGAGTTACAGGGAATGCATGTGGACACTAAAAAAGTTTACCCTGTGGCAGCTCCCAACGTTGATTTTAACATCCTAATCTTTACGCACAAGTAGAAATCAAAAGCAGCAAAGTAGGGGATACCACTCTGCAAAGGCACAAGGCTCAAAATACCTAACAAGGTGTTATGCTGGTGGCAAAATTAATGGTTCTGCTCAAAAAATAATAGCTAACCTCCTAGCAGTGGTGAATAAATCCTCAACCAAAATGTAGACCAACAGCTGTAGAAGACAGCAGAAGCACACCTGCTGTGCTGTGTTTTGACAAATGCACCTCTTTTCACTCCCCAATGACTTCTCCTTAAGTTCTTATAATGACTCCCTCTTATCTACAAAGAGCTTTCAAAAGTTTCATTGCAGTGGAACATGTGTGATTTTAATGTAAATAATAAACAACAATGCTCCCACACCACTGTCATCAGAAGAAAATCTTGCCTGTTTTCATGAGCATTATAATACTATGTAATGGCACAGAAAATAAGGCTCACAGCTCACACAGCACCATTTGTAAATCATAAAGATCTGTGAGGAATTGCAGAGCAGAAAACAAAACACGAAAGCCACACAAACATCTACAAAATTAGGCAGCTTTCCATTATGACAGACTTGCCCAAATTATCTTTCTCCAAACGCAGTGGGCCTGATTCTCCACTCTTGCCAGCAGAAAGGGGAATGTTACCAAAGTCAGTTGTTATTCCCCCCCTCTCCACCTTGCCAAACTGTTAGGGGCTCCAAACACAACAGACTCCATAGGTAGTTCTGTTCCATTGCTAGCAAAATATCTCCTTGATTAATCATATGATTTTTATATATTTGTTTAAGTCAGTCTCCGAAATGATCACTAATGGCAGGTTTCAGAGGGAGAAAAATTCCCTCTTAAAACAGATCTTACTCATTTTCCACCACAGATTGTTGTTAGATTTCAAATAACCTTTTTCTTTTTTCCTCCCAGAAAACTCCCCCCTTGTAATTAGGGCTCAATTATGAAAAGAATTAGCAACATAATTCCTGCTATTTATTTAGTTTTATCAGAACTGGTCACTGCGTTACTGTTTTTTTTTTCTTTTTTTCCTCTGCCTCTCTTCAAAAGAGCATGCAAACAGAAGCCTCCTTTTGGGGGATTTAATGCAGTCACTAACATGAAAGACAGTTTATTCGCACAGTTCAGTAGCTAGCACACCCTCCAGGTTCTTGGACTACCCTACCTTGGCAGACAGACTCTGTGGTTTGTTGGAGAGGATCTCTGCTGCTTCCCTGCAGCGGGTGGAAAGGTTCAGGATAGCAGCAGCTGCTGCTATGTGGGTGTCTTCACTACATTGACCGTAGCTATAAGAGTTGGCATGGCAAGGGCTCTGTGTGTGGGCGCTAGCACTAGGCAGTCGATTAGAAAATTTCACTGGATTTGAAAAATGCTTTGCTGTTGAAGAGAGATTTGATTAGCAATTGCATGTATGAAATTTTTCCCGTTAAATAGTTTCGCTTCTCAGACTACAATTTCATACATAAAAAAAAATATTCAAAGATTACATTTAAAACAATCAATTTGCTATTGCCAGTAAGGGTTTACAGTAAAAATGGCTTCAGAAACACAGTAATTTAATTTTTCCTTGAGAAATACACATCTGTCAACAAACCTTCTGAGATTTTTTACTCCTATTTTACTTATCCTTAACTCAAGCATTAAAAACAATGATGTCCAAGGAAAAACTGAGCAAGCATTAGTGTGGTATGCATCATTATTTCCCCACCCCAATGGAAAAATGCAATTGTAAATGCACTCTTATAAAGGCTTCCCCTTGGAGCTCTATTGTGCTAAAAAAATCAACAGTGACTTGTCCAGTCTTAGCTAAAACAACACTGCTTACTCTACTTAGATAAATAAGTCTGTTACTTAAATAGCTTTGTTTAGGTGACTAAGGAGAACAAAGCTGGGCTCTTGAAAGAAGCAGAGAAATCAGATAAAAACATTACCTGTAAGGACACATTCAGCGCTAAGTATTTTGTGGAAATATTTAGAAATTTAAATCTATCCTTCAATCAATGAAAAAAAAAATAATGAGCATACGTATGATCTTGGTTTACAGTCTTTTGTTGGCTATATTTGTAATAATACACAGTTTTATTAGGCACAGGGAGGTCAGCTGAAAATTAAGTACTAACAGGTGAACAGAAAAGCACTTTCACAAACAGAAGTGTGCAGTTCTATGTTTTCTTCTTCATCAGCAGTGTTTACTCTAAAACAGTTAGAGAGAACTCTGCTCTCTCTTTTGGATTTTGGAGCTTGGATAGCATAAACTGTTGCAGGGAGAACACAGCACTATGATTTCTACTCTAAAGAAGCAATAATCACATCTTTTGTCTGCAGCCCTCACAGTGTCCTACAAAGATAAACTAAGCAAAATCCAATTTCTCAGCCTACACCCAGATACATCAAGAACATTTCTGCATATGGCCATCTGCTCGTTCCCTAAAGATCTGAGCCCCAAGGCTCTGGATCCCTTTAGATGTAGAGCTTTGGCTGAGTGCTTTCTAATGCTAAGAGCTACACAAGACATAGGAGGACTCATCTTCCCTCAAACTTGGGATGCTCTGAAAGAAATGCTAGTTTATCTGCTTTGACTGTAGCTGAATGCTATATTCCATTTCTCTAAGCACTAGAGGCATCTCAGTAGAGCAATACATGAAAGCCTCATGATTCAGTCCTCTCTTTCTCTAGTGAAAATTAAAAAGGATTTATCTACCCTGCTGCAAGCACAGCACTGTAACACAAACAAGACAGTCTACATTTTTAACAGTTACTACAATGAAATTTAAATTGTGTTTAAAGACCAGAAAGTGCATTTTTCATTACCTATCCTAAAAGGAAAAAAAAAAACCAAGCAGCCAACAGACCAACAAAAAAAAACACCCAAGGCTATTACGGGTGTATGTTTTGTTAAAAAAAAAAAAAGTTTACAAGTGCAGAATCCACAGAGGGCTAATGATGGGCTTTTGTCTGGCTACATATTTACATAAAACTCTGAACCCATCACTACATCATCAGCTTCTTATTGCCAACTTCTGTATACCTGAAGAGTTAAATCACTCACCCGCTCTTCTACTTTCACCTTTCCATTAAAATAATAGCTGCATATTGCAATCTTTGCAAGAACAACAGGCTGTAAACTTCAGCTCTGATATACTTCATATATAAATTGCATATGTATGCATTTGCATCTGTATAAAAACATTTCAGTCATTTTTTTCCTTGAAATGAACCTGTGAAATAGACATACATCTATGCAAAGAGACAGCTAATAGGGAATATTCAATTTTGCAAACAAAATTGGAAAATCTGCCACCCAAGAAGCTGGCAATGCATATATTTGCTTTCATTTAAGCAAGCCTATTTTCCAGGTCAGATAAATATCTACTTTTCATTTGCAATTTTAAATAGAGTATTTGTATATATTCACACAAAAACCTACAAACATATATGTGTGTTTTTGTGTACTCAGACATGTACACAAATAAATATAAAAATATACAAAATTTTATAAATATATAAAACATTTATAACATAGTATTAGATGCATATTCTATTATAATTATCTTATATATGAATTTATTCATTAACAAATTTTTTTGCTTTTCTGTTCACCTTACTCTAAATGCTCTTCTTTGGGACAAAGACAAAATTGGGACAAAATTTGTTTTCCTATTTTATTTTCTTTTTTATAATTAGCAAAAGAAAACTCAATTAAAAAATTAATTTAAAAATTAAATTTTTAATTTAAAATTTTTTCACATTGTTCTGGATCTATTTTTTTCTGAACCCAGTCTTGGTAGAATGAAACTTTTCCATTTCCCTCATAGGAACAGAATTAATAGTTTATTTAAACTAAAGAATATTTTACAATGGTCAATTCCAAGGCAGAACCTTGCCAATGTTTCTCATGCAGATTCTGAAGAGCATCTGCAATAAACTCTCAGTGTTTGCACTGTGGTATCTCATTTGTACAGAGTAGTACCTCAGCAGATCTGTAAATGATGGAAGAGGAATCTTGATAACAATTTGTTGCATTGGATATGACTGCATTTCATATATGATTTAGTACAGAAATATGAGGTACCAAACTAAATTCAGCCCAGGCCTGGAATTAATGTAGCTGGGGCACATGCTCATCTAGGAGGAATAATACCTGTATAGATTCACCTAAATTGTACCTGAATTGTATCTTTGGAACCTAACTTGGATTTCTGTGTGCAACAGTTCATTACACTTTGTGCAGACATATTCCATGGGACTTGTCATCTCTTCCATAAAGATACCACCATTGAATCAAGGAAGATGGCAATAGGTAAAACATAAAGAATTCCTTTTTACTCCTCTTTTCCACTGATAACTGCTTTTAAAAGAAGCATCAAAAAAGTAAACTTTGTAGTGATGATATTTAGTGTTTCATAATTCTATATTTTGCAAATTAGTGATTCTATTTAACATTTTTGACACAAGTGATTAAAGATGGTTTCTACAGACCTTTTTAGAATTTTAGAAGTTTGAAAGCAGAACAAGCAAAAAGGAAAAAGAAATCATTGACATTTTGCCCCTTTTTCAAGAGAAAATTTAATTTCAAGCTTACATTCAAGAAACTGAGGTGTTTTTCGACCTTGTGACACAGGTGCTGTTGTGCGTTTGCCAAAGACTTGTGCATCAAAACTGGCATAATCAAATGGGACTTTCCCAAACTTCTCCTGTTCTTTCCCCAGGGTGCCTCTGGAGGAAGTGACTGGCTGTGAAGTTCTGTAACTGAACTGAGATAGCTCCGGCTGCTTTGCTAAATTTGTCCTGCAGAGAAGAGGAAAAGAATGAAGAAGAAAGACAAGAATGTCTTTAAATAGCCTTGTGCTGAAAAATAGGATATGGTTGCATCTCATAATCCAAAAATGTGCTATTATCACATGCAAAACTTACTGGTGGGTGTATACAAGAAATAAACAATATAAACATGGCGGCTGACTAGTAGTCAAAAAGTACCTTGACTACTTCACAAACTAAAAGATTAAGACATTAAAAAATGCAGTATTCAATAATAGCAGTTTGAGCTCCTTGCAAGGAAGTTACTAACTTACTGCTAGATTGGCACTTCCTTTAGTTCTAAAAATTTGTCTGGATTTTTTTCTAGCTTTTAGATATTTTTTGATCAGCATTGTTCTCACTTTACAGTGAATGAGTACGGTATAAATATAAGATGATCTGAAATAATTGCTTGTGCTGTTTGGGAGGAACAAATGATTTATGGTGTGTTATTCCATTTAGTTAATGTTCAGTAACTACTTGTCTTTAGCAATTTCCTTAGGACTTTTCATATGTAGAGTTAAGGCACGTGCAGTTGGCAGACACATGGACATAATATTCTGTAATGGCTCTGAAGGAACCATTAGAGCTGATCATGTCAATAATCCACAAATTAAAGTGTCCCCAAATAGACCTGAATATAATAGGTTGTAATGGTCATGGTGCCAATGATGTGCAAATTATGCGTGTCTGTAGGGTCCTTATAACTCTGACAAAATACCATTGCATTAAAAAGTGTTTCTCCTTTTTGATGTCATTGTATAAAATAAAAATTAAAGTATTTAACCAATCAACTAAGAATAAAGAAATTCTATTAATTGTTCTGATCAGGTTACTTGTTTGGAAGTAAGATTTAATAGGATATGTTTGATTGCTTATCCAAAGATACGCCTCTTGTCTTTAATGTCAGCCATGTACACAAGAACCTACAGATCAGATAGTTTTGTAGAGGTTCATCTTGGAAAACTGGGTTACCACTGAAGCCAAAATCTGAAGTGGGTGAGAGATCTGAGGACCAGTCAACAGAGTTTATACATAAATAAGAGTTTGTCTGTTTGGAGAAACTGGTTTGTGAGGGCTCCTACCTGTGAGTCTGATCATGGCACTGCCCAGCTTTTGGAGACTCGAGCTGGTTCTTTTCCTGGGACATTGCCAGCTTTTCAGCTGCAGCAATTGGACAACCAGAAAGGCTGTTGAAAAGCAAAGGTGAAGAACAGAAACAACAAGGAAAAAACATTGAAATTAATTATTGTGCAAAGGAGATGCATGCTGTTTTTCTGTGGAAAAAGTGACTTTGATGGTCTGTGCATTTAAGGGAATTGCTGCTGCTATAGCCCAGATTCATCTGTTTTTCTATCCTTAATGCAAAACTGTGAAATCTGTGTATTTTAGGTGATATATCTGGAAACTGAATCATGTAGGAGTTTTCCACAGTTCAGCTTTGATGTTTTGTGTCTGGCAAGTCACTAGTAAATTTTTTGACAAATGACATTTACTTTATCAGCTAAACCATGCATATAAGCCTCCTGCTGATTAAAAGGAAAGTGAATTTGGGAAAAAAACCCAGGGATATATGAGAGACTGTTACCAAAGAACACATTTTATCATTTCGAGTTGTGCTAGCTTATATTTTCCTGTTTGTTTTATTATATTAGAACATGTTTTCTTATCCTATTCATGGGATGCTCATGATACAGCTGATGTGCTGCAACAATGACTAGGGATTTAAAACAGGAAAAACAGAGGCAAAATATTTGCTTGTGCCTTATATATTCTTGTGGACAAGCTTTTCACATGTCTGATAAAGACTGATTTACTAATTTTAGTATTAAAAGAGTATGATAAACCTTAATTTTGGTGCAGTAACTAATCAATCAAAAAACAAGAAACACCAAAATCTCACAGAAATTCAGATCAACAAAGAGAGTTTGTTTTGAAATTCTTATATCCCAAGTTTGATTGAGATTATATTTTCCCAGATGCAATATGATGGAATATACTGCTTCCAGCAGAAAGCAGTAGTGAGAAGAGCTGTGCTGCCAGCAATGGCTTGCTGGAGACAGAGAGTGGCTCTCTGCTTCACCCGCAGTCCAGCCATGATTCCCCAGTTTCCTGTTTGGAAGTCTTTTCTCAATTTTGCTTTCTCCCTGTAGGCAGCATGTTAAACAGAGAGGAGATTTCCAGGCAGGAAGATGGTATTCCTGAGGGTAATAAGTAGTACTTTTAAATTTTAAAATAGTTCACTTAAAATTTTCTGTTTTGCTAAAAGGGAATGTATCCTGATTGGGAGTTCCTGTCAATGGCTAGCATGTAGTGGTGCAAAATAAATGGGTTTTGCTTTCCAATGGGTTTTCCATTTGTAGGATTAATAATGTATTTTTTCATCCCTTCCCTTTGTACATTATGATTTTTCAATGTGAGGACTGTGATGAAATTGTAGCTTTAAATCTCATCTATAAAAATACTAGTGGAATTTGCCATCCTCTGTGCTGCAGACATTTTTTATGTAATGGAATTAGACACAATTATTTGGTTATAAATAATACAGGCTGCCCTTGCAGTTCATAGACACTCTTCAGTGTAGTACATAGCATCTAATTCCAAGATGTGCCTATCAATTTACTCCCAAGTACATGTTAGGTTTTAAGTGGACAGGAATTTTTCTGCTCTACCTTCGGTGTGTGTTGCGATTGCTGTTGACATGTCCTCTTCCAGTGCATCCTGGGGTGGGGCACTTTAAAACATTTTCATGCATGGCCAGAACTAAACAGAAATTTAAAAAAAAAAGTTTAAAAAAAAAAAAAAAAAAAA